AACACTGTACATACATGAATTTAGCTAAAGAGGAGTTGGATAAATAGATGAACACAAATAAGGCTATGGTACGAAAAAAACAGATGAAATTTACCTTATTCATCAAAACAGTGACCCATGCAAGCATATTTTCTGCTGGAATCCAAATGGTTGTAGACAGTGGACATACAACACTACTAATAGCGGAGCTCGTAGAGCGTAGCCCCATAATTATACAAAATAGTAGTAACCCATCAAGCCGAAAAAATTTGGATGTACGACCGTACGATCGAACGTACAAGGTGCTACTTTCAGCATGCACGGCCAACTCTACCACGGGCACTATCTTATAATCAGTTCACTACACGGACATTGAGAAGTTGCGAATGAAAACCATTAATATTACCACGCACTTTATCCATAGTAGGGGCTTTAGTTTTGTTGAAGAGACGTGCGGGGAAAAAATGCGAGCTCCGCTTTTAGGCTTGCTTAAATCTATACAATACGGTGCTGTCAATCATGGAACAATAGTCTACTTTACAGTTGTGTGCTTGGTTGCCAAGCCTGAGGCTAAGGGTGACCTTGTTATGATAAAAACCTTGCATATCACTTTGTTATTAAGCTAACTAGATACTGGTCTCATCGCATGTGTCACTGAGAGGTTTGTGGTAATTACAATAATCGATTGTTCTTCGGAGTTGGAAAAAGTATTTATGTTATGTTAGCATTTGCAGAAGGTGTTTCAATGCTTTTAAAATGCATATCACTTTGTTATCATGCTAACTAGATACTGGTCTCATCGCATTTTTGTGTCACTGAGAGGTTTGTAGTAAGTACAATTATCGATTGTTCTTCGGAGTTGGAAAAAATATTTATGTCATGTTAGCATTTGCAGAAGGTGTTTCAATGAAATAGCCGTTCACAATGCAGATGCAAGCTCATAGTGAAGTTTTACTCTAAAAACTGTTGAGGTGTGGGGTGAAAGAAGAGAATCCTTTGTTTTGATTTGCAAAGGAAGCCAACATTTGAAATTGTTTGCGTAGAAGAGCATTTCATGCATTCAGTTTGTGTCTTGGCGGGTTTAGATCGTGCGTGATTTCATATAAAGGATTTTCACCATTAGCAAATCTCGTAAACATTAAAATGATCAAGTTTCAACACGTATCGATTTGCCTTCAGTAATCGTCATTCAAAGGTCTACGCGACGGAATGTGCTTACCGAAGCACCTTCCTGAACAACTGTCTTAAACTGCTCTTACTCCTCCTGTTTTTAGTCCAACAGTAGTGATTGCTTCAATGATTCACAACTGGTTGATACGACAGAATGTGCTTACCGAAGCTTAGTCATGAAAGACTGTCTTAAATTGCTCTTTCTCCTCCTGTTTTTAGTCCAACAGTAGTGATTGCTTCAATGATTCACAGCTGGTTGATGCGACAGAATGTGCTTACCGAAGCTTAGTCATGAAAGACTGTCTTAAATTGCTCTTTCTCCTCCTGTTTTTAGTCCAACAGTAGTGATTGCTTCAATGATTCACAACTGGTTGATACGACAGAATGTGCTTACCGAAGCTTAGTCATGAAAGACTGTCTTAAATTGCTCTTTCTCCTCCTGTTTTTAGTCCAACAGTAGTGATTGCTTCAATGATTCACAACTGGTTGATGCGAAAGAATGTGCTTACCGAAGCTTAGTCATGAAAGACTGTCTTAAATTGCTCTTTCTCCTCCTGTTTTTAGTCCAACAGTAGTGATTGCTTCAATGATTCACAGCTGATTGATGCGACAGAATGTGCTTACCGAAGCTTAGTCATGAAAGACTGTCTTAAATTGCTCTTACTCCTCCTGTTTCCAATTAGTAGTAATTGCTTCAATGATTCTCACCTCAGTTTTTAATGCGACGGAAAGTGCATACCGAAGCACCATTCAGGGCGTGAAATTGATTTTTTTTTCTGATAGCCACTTGGCTCCTAAATTCTTCAAAGTGGTATCCAATTCAAAAAAAGTTGGTCGCCATCTTCAAAGATAAACAAAACCTTTTTTTTTTACGCTGTCATCGTTCTAGAAATTAAGTTAGGGAAAAGATCCTTAACTTGCTACAAAGTGGACACTAGGATGGATGATATACAACGTTCAAGTGCACCTAAATCCAAGATGGCGTCTAGTTATCGATCATGATGCATGTGCTGCATTTCGGAAACAAACTTAATGAGGAAGTTTGCCTCGGAGTTTTTCTTTGCAAATCTTTTTAATTCACTATATCTCTAGGTAAGGTTATAATTAAACATTCTAGTCGCCAATTTGGTGACTAATTTTCAGGATTTGGTCGCCAAAGTGAAAAATTTAGTCGCATTGGCGCTTGTATTAGGCGCAATTTCACGCCTTGCCATTAATGAACAACCGTCTTGGGGCCTGTTTACATGGAGGTGGGGGACCCCAGGTAGGTGAGGTAACCCGCCTGTCCATATAATTTCTTATTTTATTTTGATCACGTTTACATGATAGGTGGGGTGACCCGCCTAGGCGGGTTGCCCGGTCTGCCAGGTAGGGTAACCCTGTCAGCCAGGGTGACAATTTGCCATGTAAACGTGTCAAGGTGGGGTAACCCGGCCCGCCCAGCCGGGGTCGCATTCACGGCAAAAAGCTCAAAAGCGAAACATGAATCAGTTTAAATCTTTGTACATTTCCTAGCCGTCTTATGGCAGAAATCACCAGAAACCGCAACGGACACAAAAAGAATGTAAAATGTTCACATTTCAGAATATTACGACCATATTTGGTTTCTCAAACTATTCCGTATAACGTATTAAGTCAACGGTTCCTTGCGAAGCCAAACACCGCGTAACACAACGCGTGACGCTTTCATGAGTAAATACATATGTGTCCGAGAATTAATCTTTCGTCTTTTTCGAGATGTGAACTTGGGACGCCTCTGCTCAAACTCCTTAATGGCAAGTGCAACAACAAACTAAAGAAACCTCACCCCAGCACCCCGGGGTTGTAAGATTGCATGTAAAAGCGTTTTATTTTTCGACCACGGCTAGGCGGGTTACCTCGCCTACCTGGGGTCCCCCACCTCCATGTAAACAGGCCCTTAAGTTTCACTTTCTCATTCTGTTTTCAGTCGCACCGTAGTATTGATTGCTTCAATGATTCGTAACTGGTTTAAGCCGAAACTTGTCTTTAAATCGATTTTACAATAGCATTTTTTTGGCGAATTGGGAGTTGTAGAAATGATATTTGATCGTTTCATATTTACGCTGAAGCGTTTTAACTGGAAATCTTGTTGACCACAAACTTAGCGTCAAACGCGATCGATCATAAATTGTTCACATTTTTTAAACAAAAATGTTCTCAATATCTCGAAAAATCATCCTTTTCGAGTGTATAGCAGGCTTGTTGGTTCATTCAAAATAGCATGCCAGAAGTATCCTTCAATTTTGCCTCACATCTCTCAGTAATGTTTGTTATCCTTCCTTAATTAAACGTAACAAGAAACACTCTTTTTAATAAACAGCAAAGCCTTGACTGGGCTCTGTTCTGTTGTAAAGCACACAGGAAGCGGCTAGAGTAGGAAGGAAGTGTAGGAAGAATCACCTGACTACTTCTAGTGTCTCTTCTCACTTCTTTCGTGCTTTAACGCTTCCTAAGTGCTTTACAATAGAACAGAGCACATTGAAGGCTTCTCTATTTGTTTTACAATAGAACAGAATCTGACGGTTAAATTTTTATTGAAATCCGACCGAATTATGGCTCATAAAAAACACGCATGACAATTAAAAAACAAAATGCTTACGATATGTGTTTTATGAATGAACGACAGTCGAATTCACCGGCTTGCTATGATTTCAATTGTCAATAACGTGAGTGATAACCAGTGGGAAAGGTTAACAGGTGAAGTTATTTTCTTTAATTTCCACGAACAAAATCCGGCTTTTCTTGAAACCACTCGGTGCGTTTCTTTTCTTTTTTAATCCGGGATGCAAAAATGAGTGAAAAAAGGCTCTTATGCCTGAGTGCACGCTCGGTCTAAAGATAATTAAAATCAAATCATGTTACCCTTACTGACCTTACTTTGAAGGCAGATATAACTTAAATGTGTTAGTAAATACTGATTTGCTTTGTCTTCAAGATCAAAACAACAATGCACGCACTTTACTTATGTTAACAAGTTTTAACCAGGGCTTGATTTAAAACAGGATTCGGTAATTCTTACCTTAAACTTAAATTAAGCCGATCAAAGAAATAATATTACATTTTTAAAATCAATACACTTGAACTTAGTGCTTTTTTTGAAAAAGGGATTTGTAGCTAAGGTATCCTTTGCGTGATGAATCGCGTAAAGAAATCGGATGCTATTTATTGCAGAGCTGCAGCGTACGTTTATTTGTGAGGCACGCACCAAAGAGAAACTTGAGCACCAAAAGTGCAAGTCGGCCCTGCGCAGTTTCTTGGCTTCAGGAATGCCGTTTCCCTCGTCTTCAAAGGGGTACGGCTTCAGACTTTTTTAGACTAAAACATAGAATAGTGTTGGGTATTCAGTAAATTATGTAGCTTGTGATCGACAGAAAGATTGTTAGGCTCGGTTACAAAGCAATAACTTACAAAATGCGAGACCCCTCCCCTTCAGACGGGAAAATTCCTGACCAAACTCTGATTGTCCTCAAACCGCAAGAGGCATTAAAGTTTGATGATTAGGCTGAAATATATTTGTGTTTTAAAGCAAGATTATAACCATCACGGTACCCCTCTCCACCTGGGAGAAACCATTGGCGAAACCCGACGAAATCGATTACCAGGTTAGGGTGTAGCAATACCCCTATTTGTTGCAGGATAACTCTACCATGGGAGTTAAGCCACCTAGTTTTTGATGCAGAACATATGTTTGTTTAACTTTTGTAGCTAACCCTGGTCAAAGTGATTCGAGACTTTCAGTCAAGCGAAGACGATTTCTGACTGTTGGCAGAGTTGATGACCGTTCGACCTTGGTGCTAGTTCATCTATCCTACGAAATAGACGGGAAGAGAACAAAAAAAGGAGAGAATGCCTGGATATCCCCTGGCAAGTCTAGACGAGAACGTTATCGACGCTAAGTACTTCTGCAGCTCTTGTGGGTTACTGCTGAGAAAGGCCATGCAGACGAGCTGTGGACATTTCTATTGCCAATCTTGCTTACTAAGTCTTATTCGGTAAGTTTTTACGTTTAAGCCATATTCAGATGAGTGTCACAAGTAAAACGAGATTGTCTTGATTCTGCTTCACTAAGCTCTGTGATTAACCAAAAATATAATCATGCCACCATGACCAAATATCCATATACCCATTTTCATATTACAAACTGGCCACTCGTGTTTCCCCGCCCCTAGAAAGGGTTTTTTATATTTTAAAAAATCCATTGACTCTTTGTGATATTGAACTTTTCTCTAATGTGCAGTTTTGATCACTTCGGTTTCGGTATTTCGACACTCAGGCGAAAAGCGCTTTAAGTCTGCTCTGTTAAACATTTGGCAACAACCCCTGCCTAAAACCTAGAAGGGAAATTCATGGTAAAAACTTTCTGGGATGCTGCGCCAGAAAGAGTGAGTCATTTCACTGTAGGAGGCAGTAATTACATAAATATAGAAGGAAGTAAGGATAACTGCCACTAGGTGTCAGCAAACGCATTCTTACCCAAAAAATGAGCACTTCAGGGGTGTGAACTGAAAGGTAGAGCTTTTTGAATAGAAGGGTACATGGAAGGATGAGAATTAGGAATTCGGGGTGGAGAATCCCTGTACAAAATGATTAACATACGATTTTCCCGTGTCTAACAGGGGCGTTGGCTTTGAAAATGAAAAAAAGGGTAATATATAATATAATGACCTCCATCTCTCTAGCAGTTTTCACTGGGTTTTCTAGAGGTAAAGTTTACCGATCAGCAGATGGGTGGAAGAAATTCGCCAAGAATAGCTATATTCGGGCGTTTCATCATATTGTAACGCCAAAAACTTACGTGCAATTTTCTCTCTTAGTCCTAAAATTGTCCATCATAACATATATTTGGTAATCCAGGTGTACATCTCCTCAAAATTCACTGTTTTTCAACTTTTGCATTAGTGTCAAGTGTCATTCTTTCATCAAGACTCCCCTACTCAGATTTATCGGCTGTTGAGGTCTCCACCTAGGGGTTTTGCCCCATATCCCTCCATGACCTATAATAAATTTGTTGATCGGAGCCAATTAACAAGTTTTTAGAGGGATAAAACGACTGATTACCAACATTAAGATAAAAACTTAGTTAAGCATTTACTAAGGAAATAACTTCTCCCCATTACAAGAAAGATCACCGTCACATGCACTAACATCACAGTTGACATTCCCAACCACTCTCGTTAATGATATTTGCATGCTGACTGTTAGCTATGTCCCAGTGGAATTTGATGATAGCCACCATGATTGAGCCCATCTCCCCCCTCCCCAATTTATGTGAATCTTCTGTTTGAACTGCACTCCACTTTCGTGGATTTATCTCGATTCGTGGAAATTCCTTGTGGTTGTGCCCAAGAGGTGACGTTAACTGCCTCTTCTACCTCTTCTGAAGAAAAACTGAATCCAGGTAATTAATGCAATTGCAAAAGTGTACCCAGAACATTTTCTTAACATTTCCTACCATTGAATATAAAATGACAAGCAACGCTTATTTCAGTAATTTAAGAAAATTACCATTACGGATAATCTTTTCACTAGGGATCAGCAAACACTTTTGATGGTTTGTTTCAAGGACCAAACAAGTCTTCATCAGAACGAGGTATGTTGATTTAGTAATCATAATCTTGTTATACTTGGTTTTCGCCTGCTTCGATGGTACTAAGGATTTTCTCAAAATCCGAGTGGAAAGCTCTTGTAATGGAATTTACCACTGATTACGTCTTCGCCAGATGGGTCTTCCATTACCTCTGGATTCCTTTACAGCACATGTATGGTCTATATATTTTGCAGGTTTTTCCAGACAAATTTATACGTCGTGAGGTACTTGCTCTCGTCGTTCACTGCACTTTCAAGGAGGATGGGTGTGTTTGGAAGGGAGAAGTGAGACATTTAGAGGTATGTCATATTTGGTATCCTGGGATAGACAATTGTGATTCTTCAAGCATGGCGTGTACATATTTTCGTATTTATTTGATGATTACAAGGAGAACGTTTGCATCCATTCATACGTATCGTTGAAACTTTTACATTCATCTCCTTCACGTTTCCACCGTCAGCTAACATCCATTTTAATGAGAAGAAATCACACTTGAATTGCAAATCGTTTTAAAGATCGCGTAGTACGTATGTTTTTTAAAGGGGTCTTAATCTTAAAGAGCCATCCACATATTTTTTCCCTTCGCCGAGTAGCATTGACTGGATGCCATGTACAGCCTCCCTCCTCCCCCCTCTTTCTTTATCGCCTACATGGATTACTGTATCACAACATTTTTGTTAATTGAAATGGTGGAATTGCCATTTTCAGTAACGTTACGATATCTATTCTTATTAAATAGCTTAAGGCTTAATACTTCTTGTAATAATGACCGAACAAAAGCTCGAAATCTTTTCTTTTTGGCCTGAGCTAGTTAGTGTTAGTGTGCTCCTCTGAAGCTGAAGAAAAAATTACTAGAGGACTCGCATGATGTGGGTGTATCTTGTAGTGAGCGGTCTACTTTCCTCTAATGCTCTTTCAATCTTTATTAGTTACTTTATTAGACAACATTTTTTTTTCGGTATTGTACTTATTATTGACTTACAGAGCCATATAAACACATGCGAGTTCCTGAAGATACCCTGTGTACATCCTGAGTGTGGCATGCTGGTAAAAAAATCTGATCTCACTTCACATTTGGAAAACGAATGCATGTTCCGACTGGAGAAGTGTACACTTTGTCAAAGACAGATAGTCTTGTCTATGATTAAGGTAAATCATTTCGAACATCAAAGAACCAAAATCACTCTCAGCTCTCTGCCTAACTCTCCTCGTGATCAGTGATTAAAATTTATTAACCACCCCGTTGAATATATAAACCTCCACTTATCAAGGGGTACCGATACTTTTGCAGGCACCTTTTACATAGCACTTGGTATTATGTATCCTCATTTAAACTATTCATTGATGATTTGTAGAATCTCACAATCTGAGTGGTCTCAAGGTAATTCTCTGACTGACTGACTTTAGAGGGAACTTGAACTCATCCTGTAGTTCTATTTCAGTAATTAAAGTTTTGAAGTATGATTGCGACGGTTACCCATTTTGGCATATTGTGACTCAAAACAAGAAAGCCTCAAGACCTATTAAGATATGAGTACCACTTCCAATTAGATTTATAGGTTAGTCTTCCTACGTTACAATTAATTAGGGTACCTCCGTCAAAATTACTTCAAAGCCCCCTACCTTCCAAACTGGGTACTCGATAGAGAGTACGAGACAGTAAGCTTTTAACGGTTCCTTGCTTACTGTGCAAATCGTTTTTCTCCGGAGTTTTCTTTGGATCCAAAAAAATACTTCTTATTAGACTATTTTGCGCCAATCGATTCGAAGCTTCAACATCTCGTCCCTGTATCGGGGGGGGGGGGGGTAGATTTGAGGATTTTGATAGATTTTAAAGGATTTTTAAGGATTTTCCGTGGGTGAATGGCTTCGAGGATAATTTTCAAATCGTATAATGATGCTTACTGACGAAAAGCCCAACAGCAGTACCAAAAACTAATAAGTGACTTTGTTAAATTCACACAAAGAATCGTTCAATATTGGGCGGGAATTTGAACGATTTAATCTTCAAAAAATTCAAACGCCCCAGGGTTTGCCCGGGAAGGGACGTTAAGGCCCCAAATTGATCAAGGTGATCTAGTCGAATACTTACAGTTGTAAGTATTTGCACTTGTATTCAGCACTTTTTTGATCAATTCTTAAAAAATTGTATCCGAGGTACATCGTTGTGTTTCAAGTGATCCACTGAAGTCCATTATGTCGAACCCCTCTTGATAAGACCAGGGCTTATTTCTTTACATTGTAACGAAAATTAAGGGGACACCGTACTCCAGAGAGGTCCACTGTTGCATAATTTTCCACGAGCACCTCCTAAAGGTGATGGATAAATTTATGGTCATTGTTATTTAGCTTATCAAAAATAACTCAGAACCACACTTTGCTCAACGACATAAAAATTCCGATAGGGCAATTTTTTTTAAGAATCTGAGGACCTCAAACCTATGTCACTTAGGTTTGAAAATTGCTTTCCCGGTCATCGATACGATAGTTTGTTGAAACCAAAATTTTTTTCTACAGCAACACCAGGATACAGAGTGTCCTGCATATCCAAGTACATGTGAAAAATGCAACAAAGATGGAATTCCTCGAGGCAAAGTAAGAACACATACCTTCTGATAAAAAAATTTGTGTAATAATTCTAAGGTAATTCCTATGGTGAATTTAAAAACAAACACAAAGGCAATTAAACCTTCCACTCTAAAGATCTCGTCAACAATTCTCCCTGCTGCCTGTCATTAAATACTTATAATGTCAGTATGGAGAGTTTGTTACTGGATCAACTTGTAGTTCCCTTAGTGAGTTTGTTCTGTTTCTGTTTCTGTTTCTGTTCATGATGGGGCTCTATGGCAACTGATTTATACACCAGTATTTAATGAGACGATGTCTGTTAGTTTGCTTTCTTGGCGTTACCATCTACAACACACGCCACAAAAAATCAGGAGCACAGCCAGCTTTGCGCCTTAAATGAGGCGAATAATTAAAAAAGCTGTGCGATACATGTAAGCACTCTTACCTTTCGGATGTACGGAGCAGCAGAGATGGGGGGGAGTGGGGAAAGGGGGAGGGATGGCTTAACGATTTCTTTAAATATGCTCAAGAAGACCTTAGTTATTCTCATGGAAAATCTAAAGGAAATAAATTGATCAACTGGCTCTATGATCTGGAAATGGGAAAGGAGAAGAATGGTTTGGCATTTTTTTAGGTCATAAATATAACAGAAAGTTGAATTATTTTAAATTCGAGATTTATCGTGCAGCAAATGGGGATAAACTGAGGCCTGCTTTGCATTAACCGTTGAAAAAAAAGGTAGCTCTGATTAACTTGGGCTATTAGTACGCTTGTACAGTTATGATTAAATTTGATAATTCTTCTGTTTGAAGTTGAGAGATCACCAGGATTCTTTTTATGGCGACTGTGAAGGCGCACGGGGACCATGCCCTTTCTCTCAGATTGGCTGCCCGAAAGTGGATGTAAGTACTCACTCGAATTTTCTGACTGAAACTATTGTTAGCTATTGCATTAGTACTTAACTTATAATTACGTAAAATTTTCACAACACACCTCTATAAAAAAGGGTCCTCAGTAAGGCCCTAAGCAATGAGATACAAACGAGAGAGATAGAGAGCATTTACCAGGTACGCGCAGCAGTTGTGTTTACATTATGTGTCGATCAATTTGAAGCTTCATCAACTCCCCCGACAAACTCCCGGGCATTTGAACTTTTGAAGATTAAATCGTTTTAATTCCCACCCCCTGGTCCAAAATTGCGCTCAGATACGCAACCCAATATTGAGCTATTCTTTGTGAGATCGACAAATGCTGTAGAATTTAGCAAAGCCACGGATTAGTTTCAGGCGGCTGCTGGTACGTTATTCGCCCGTAAGCATCATTGTATAATGTGAAAAATGTCTCTTTTAGTCATTCGCTTACGGAAGTAAGCTCTTTACCTTTAAAATCCTCCATTAAAACACGTAAATAACGTTGGATAGACTTGACACTTCTGGTTCAAATTCCCGACCCCACCCAGCAAGGTTACAATTCTCCACCTCCCGGTGTGGACGACGGTCAAATGCCCGATCCATTCCATAGCATCTTATAATGATACATTGTACCTACTGCGATCTGACAGGTTCTAAACCAAAAGGAAAAGAAACAGCATTTGGAGAAGGCACATGCTCAACACACTGTTCTGCTGCTTCAGTTTGCGATTCGAATGAGCCAAGAAGTTGAGGCCATTGTGACCTGTAACCCGAGTATCATGTCCGTTAGCCTTCAACTACAAATTATATTTGACGAACTCCGAAGCCTTAAAGGTAAACTAGAAGAAAACAGTGGCCGCATAACTACTTTGGAGCGAAGTTTGGTATCAGGTACTACCTCTGGAGCAGCATCGTCGGAACAGCGAGTTCCAATTGACGCCAGTTTATCAAGTAATGAGCGTACAAGGAGAGTTACGAATATTGATAACGGGACCGCTGACCACGAGGTTCCTTTAGTCGAGAACAATCGCGCCAGGGAGGAAGTTAGACGTTATACGGATAACACGATAAGGCAACCCGACACCGCCCAGGGGAGCACCAGAAGGCCTAACCGACGGATTGAATATTTTGAGCGCACACTAGCACTAATTAATGTAAACCTGGCTGATTTGGAGGAATGCGTAAGACAGCAAGAGATCTCAAGCTACGATGGCCAGCTTTTATGGAAAATTTCTCATTTTTCTCGCAAACGGAATGGTGCAGTTACTGGAGAAGAAGTCTCCGTCGACAGTCCAAGTTTCTCAACCAGTCGCTACGGTTATAAGATGTGCGCGCGTGTCTATCTGAACGGCGATGGAATGGGTAGAGGAACGCACATCTCTGTCTACTTGGTTGTCATGCGCGGTCAGTACGACGCCATTCTCCGCTGGCCGTTCAGACTGATGGTCACCTTCATGTTACTGGATCAAGATAACCTGGAACACGTGATCGACGCCTTCAGACCTGATCCGAACAGCTCATCCTTCCAGAGGCCAAGAAGAGAAACAAACATCGGCAGTGGGTGCCCGATGTTCTGCTCGCTTACCGAGCTGAATAATCACGCATATGTCAGGGAAGACGCCATGTTCCTGAAAATAATTGTGGATACTTCTGATCTGTAGAGGGGAGCTTCAAGTTGTGGTTTGTTATTTTTTTTAATTAGAGACCGTCTAGTTTCTGCAAGGTGGCTCTGTGGGATGCCTGGACAAAATCAGGATATGTAGTTGTAGATACGGGTAACCTGTTAACCTGCAGGTTAATAATTACAAAACTGCTGGAGCCAATATTGCATCGGCAGCCGAAGGCTGATGCGGACCTGATATAGAATAGTAATATTATAAACTTAATAAACTATAGCAAACTTAATAATAATTTAGTAATATATAAAATCATCTGATGTGGACCTGGTACGTAGAATCATAATAACAATAATATTAAATAACATCAGCTGATGTGGAACTGCTATGCACAATAATATAATAAATAAGACTATAACGAACTTAAGGTAATTCCCTTGAAATTGTTCTACCATCAAACTTTTTTTGAAACTTGGTATAATTAACATTCATGATATAAACATTAAAAAAAAAATTCAATACAAAAATTGGGTCACCGTGCTTGTTTACGCGTCAGCAGGCTCTCAAAATGGGGTATTTTTACTGGTTTACTGGTCGAATCACCTTCATACAGAATTTAGCCTCGGTAACTTGAAAGACACAAAATTTTATTTTGAAATTAAAGCTTCTTTTACTAAAATAAGCAGTATTGCTTCGGTAAACCATTGCTTCATGTTAGCTGTTTTTGATTGCCTGGTTGTGGGATTTTGCACTTTTTCGGACGGTTCCGTGGTTAGCTTGAAGTCCTCGCCTTGGCCAAAATACGCCAAATACAGAACTATTTTCCCAAAAAAATAATGTAGTGTAACATCCTTTATTTAAACACGATAGGGTTTAAAGTTCAAAGCTTGTGGGGTCGTGTGAAAATAATTACAATATGAAACTATATTCAACTAGACGCATATTTACGTTCACCCGGGCCTCCTGTTGGAAATAAACTTTGTTTTTTGTGCTTGCATCTCTCTGCTTAATTTATAGTTGCAATGATTTGTTACGTGAGCCTCATTCTTGCAAGAACACATCAGTTTGTTACAAGAAAGCAGTGTTACACGACTGTCACGATATTATACCTTTCTTATACTTTGACGAATATTTTCACGACAGATAAACTCAAACGTCCTTTTGTTTAATAGTTTTTTAGTATTAACATAACAGTACAAAGTAGATGACATGGGGATACATGGAGAATACGTGCATAGACAAATTTCATAACCTTTCTTGTCTTGTTTCTTAACCTTTTCAAACTTCGTATTGGTATTCTGCTTGGTTCACGATCACGTCTACATACACGATGAGATTTGCGTCTATGCTTCTCTCGATTAACATTAGCTAGCTCAGTTGATATAGCATGTTTCTCGATGAATTGTTCACTCATAAATGTTCGCTCATCAAGAGATCTCTCAAAAGGTTCGCAGACCTACTCGTTCTGAAAAAGCTCGACATCTTTTAGTGTGGGTCTAGCACGAACGACGTGTGCACATTTTGTATGCGTTTTGCGCGTATTATCAAAAGGCTGCGCATGCGTAATGAGGACTTGACTGCGACTTGCGACCGAACCAAAAAAAAAAAGCGAATCCGGAATTTCAACTCGAGCGTTTCCTTTGGAAAGCCCTAGTAGATAGGGATAACACCACTTGCAATACACAACTACCATGGTAAATATTAAAAAATATTCATAAGTTTCTAAATAGAGAAATATTAAACGAGTTCACATATTTACATCTGAATAAATTGACTACGGCAATTAAGGCATAGAATATTTAGAAGCATTTAAAATTAGGGTAGTGCCTGGGCAGCGACTGGACCAACTGTGTGCTAAAATCAAGTTCCTTAAAATAAAATTCCTTCTTCACTTTACGATAAAAATCAGTAAACTGGCCCGTAAAATGAGACGAGACAGCGTTCCAAAGGATAGCGCCTCTATAGCTAATAGAGCTTTTAAGAAACTGCAAGTTAAATCGCGGGACGATAATGTTATTACTCCTTCTGAAGTTGTTCGCAGTGCAAGGTTTATTTGTCAAGTATGAGAGAGCCGCAGAAACTTCACCTATAATCACGCTATGAAATCATTTAATTAATCGAAGTTTATAATTAAAGGTTAAAGTGTTCCAATTCGAGTGTCGGTATACTTCGTCAGTAGGTATATCGCGAGGTAAATTATATATTATTCTGGCTGCCCTTCGGTGAAGTATTTCCAAAGATTGTAGAAGGTCCGTATTTGGATAGCCGCCCCAAACGACCAGTCCATATAAAACGGATGGCAATATTATCTTAAAGAACAAGCCCAATCGGGCATTACGGCACAAAAACGAACTCCTTTTCAAGAGGTTCAGTTTGCTAACAAAGTTGTTTTTTAAATGTGAGATGGTGTACCCAGGATAGCATGTCGTCGAAAGTAATGCCCAAAATACGGGTATGTTTTATCCACTCGATCCGTTCCTCTCCAATAGTCACAGAAATTAGCGGCCCAATGTACGGTTTTCTCATCAAAAGCATGGCTTTGCACTTAATCGAGTGAGGGGTTAAAGAGTTGTCTAGGCACCAGCTGTTCAGTTCGGATAAAGCTCTATTTAAAGAAGTTACGGTGTTATCGACAGTGTCGCCAATGCAAAAACGGTGGTGTCATCTGCGAACATAAAAATAGAGCCGGAGGTGACAGCACTTGGAAGGTCATTAGTGCACAAAGCGAACAACGTGGGGCCTAGTACTGACCCTCGGGGAATCGCGCAGGTAACGTTTAGCACAGTTTAGTGGTGGCCGTTTGCTACTGAAAATTGAGTTCTGTCGGTTAGATAGTCAGGCAGCCCACAGGCGGCCCAAGCTCACGTCTCGAGAAAAAGCCAACGATTAATTCATGAACGCGTCACACATTGTGTGACTCGCTGTTAAGTTACGAGAGGAACCGTTGAAGATTTGAACACGTTATAAGGAATAGTATGGGGAACGAAATATAGTCGATTTACAACGATAAACATTTCGAAATATGAATATTTACACGTAAAATCAATAACACTTACTCACATCCTGTGTGTCCGTTGTAGTTTCCGGCGTTTTTTGCTGTTTTAAGCTTGCTTTACCATCACTGTTATATATGTCAAAAGACGAAGTCAAGGCTGCACACTCCGATTTCGACCGTTGTCCACGCGGAGGTGGTTTGCGCACCGTCTTGGCTCTCAACTCGAACTTCTTCGAACGGAGATCTACTTACGCGCAACAAAAGGAAGATGTCTCTTGCTAAGGAGAAAGACGATCTGAGAAATTTAAACGACCGTTTTGCGGCTTCCATAGAAAAAGTCAGGAAACTGGAAGAGGAAAACAAAAAGCTCAAAAATAAGGCATGGTGAGTAATCAGACTAAGGTGACAGAGAGAGAGAGGTTAGCTTACAAAGTTCTTTAAAACTCGAGCTCTTGCCCTCCCTCTATGGAATTTTAGCCCCCTTAATCGAATCATTTTATCGTACTCAGCAATCGTTTTGGTCTCCTTTCAGCGAAGTAGAAGTGTGAAAAAGTGTGAAAATAGTAAGAGTTGAACGAAAGCATACAGCTACACAATACCTTAAGAAATAATAATAATAATAATAATAATAATAGTAATGATAATAATAACATGATAATGATGATAATAATAATAATAATGGGATTTAGCAGTGGACATGTCACGGAGTTGCTCTTGTCCACTGTTTCCAGGTGGAATTGGAATTGAGAATGTTTGTTTTTGGGGTAATCATAGGGAAAATGGGGTTTCCTTGATTTGCTTTTTCCCAGGGTAACAATGGTGCCAACCATTCCAATGATCCTTCCAATTCCATCGAGGAGGTCATGATATGCAAGTGAACTTTACTTCTTTGAGAATACCATGAGCTAAAACAGAAGTCATAGACATGTTTTGTTTTGTTTTGTTTTTCTTTTTTTGAAGAAATCTTAGGTTTGAAACCAATATGGAGAACCTCTATTGTACAGAAAAATTTGCAACAAAACCTTTCAACAAAATGATACAGCAGCTGTGAATTAATAAGAGAAGAGAAAGATAGTTTACAGACTAAAGAGTATATTCTTGGGTTTGAAACCATTACAGAGAACCTTAAAGTAAAAGGAGATTTCAGCTGTATCGTTTTTTTTGCAAGAGGAACTTTATTGTGATTAGTTTATAAAGTTCACATTAAAGTTATTGGAGAGCAATTCCATTGTGGTTCAGTATGTTGCTTGTGTTTATTGTCTTTTTACTCAGTTGTCAACAAAGAACTTGAACATTCTTGGTGAAGCTTGAGCTGTAAAGGTTGATAAGATGCCAGTTACAGGTCCCTTCATAGTCCTTACTTAACCCTTTAACTCCCAAGATCTGAATGTCAATTCTCCCCTCTAACTGCTATTCATTTCCTTGGAAATAAGTTACAAGAATTTGGTGGTAGATCAAGATAACAACTTCCACCTTATAAGTTTGAATATTCTCATGATGTGTTTGCTGGATGGTATTTAGATATTACAGGGAGAAGTTACATATTAATCACTTTTGGTTGAGGGTTTTCCTTGTTTCAAGGTACTTACTGCTCCTCATCTCTAGATGCCCTGCTTCATTCCTTGAGGAACAGAATTGTAATGTGAGGCATCTTTGTAATTCTGAAATGAGAACTGTATGCCAATTTTGAGGGCCAAATGTTCTTTGTGTCAGGACACAGGCTTTTACTTTCAGAGAAAGCATTCTTAATATGAGAAATTTCTTCATTTTAAGTTCTCTGCTTGTCATTTTCTATTACTTTCCATTCCTTATTTTGAGAAGACCAAGCCTTGAATTAAGAAGTTTCTGTCATTCTGAAAATGAGCATTTCCTCCTTATTTTGAGAGCTGAAAAATTATATTTACCTCCTAACATTTCAAACTTAAGAATGGTACTATAGCCAGATGTATGTCATTCTCAGGGCTATAAACAACTACACAAATCTTAGCTATTTCACTTTTATCATTTGATTTAAAAGGTAAAAGACTCGTAGATGGGAAGATATTGTAGTTATAGCTATTAGTTGGGGGTGCCTAAAGAAGAAAACTGAAAAAATTTTTCTTAATGTCTAGGAATGAATGGATCAGATATTTTGTTGATTTTGACCCAGGAAGAAGCTTGAAATTGTCAGACTTCTTTTCTGAATTTTTTTCATATGCAGAGCACTTTTGAGGATCATTTCCTTACTTGTAAGCATCTGCTGTTGCATTGCTTGTCCAGTAATTAATTGGTCACCATTGCAATTGTGATTTTTAATACCCTGTATGATAATTTTATGTTTCCTGCAGATCAAACTTGGTCAGAGGAGTGAGGCAAAGGATGGTAAGTCATTAGTAGCAGCTCTTTAGATCTAGAATGAAGATCAGATTTGCCAAACTGAAAAGCGCCTAATATTTCTACCCGTAATTACTCATGGACTTGAGTGAAATTGTCCTGTGGCATAACCTTGGACACACCCTCCCAAGGTTACAAGAATAAAAGGAATGATCACCTGCTAAGGAAGCTCTTGATTGTCAGACAAATTCTCCTTGTCAGCACCTTAAAAAATCTGACAACAGTATGGAGAATATGTGTACTAACTTTAGGGTGTAAAGGGTTAAGCAGGATTTTCAGTCCAGTTCTGCAGAGTTTGTGGTCTTTTTAGGGTCTTATATTAGCACCAAACACATAATTTTCTCCTTGTTGTATCTTCACAGCTTCTCGATGTATTTGGTCACAAGTCCAACATCAGTCTTGTATTTGACTTCATGGAAACAGATCTTGAGGTAATTTAGTATTAAAGCAACCCTATACATTAATTTCTTTTGTCTAATTTGTGGGTTCAGTAAAAATATCATTGGAAAAAAGAAACAGTTAATTTTAACTTTAAATTATGTATTTACCATTATTTCAGGTTATAATAAAAGATACAAGTATTGTACTAAGCCCAGCAAATGTCAAAAGCTATATGATAATGACATTGCAAGGTTTGGAATATCTTCACATGAACTGGATCCTTCATAGGGTAAGTATACAAAGGAATAGTTTGCTTGAATGAACAAAGACCTGTGTGAACTAGCTATTGCTTGAAAGTATCAGGCAATTCGCCATTGACTGACAAGCTTGAGTATAGCTTATGGTGGAAAAAAGTGTCATTTAACTCATCATGTTTTTACTTCAACTTTGCAGCTTCTTCTGCAGTATTTTTATCTACATATTTCCACTTATAGCCATAGCCAAAAGATTTGATAAGCTTAGAATAACTAGGAACTTGATGTGAATTTTTCTTCTAAGATATTAACCCTTTACTCCTCAACATCAGTATGCATATTCTCCCTACTACTCCCTAGACATTTCCTAGGGTTTTGACAAGGAGAATTTGTTCAACAATCAAGATCTTCTTTAGTTGGTGATCATCTCCTTAATTCTCATGACCTTAATGTTTGATTCAGGGCTGATGTTGTAAGGAGAAATTAGATGTTAGTCACTCTCAGGGGTTGAAGGGTTAAGAAAGGAACATTATAGGTGAAATAAGTGTTAAAAGGGAAAGATTCACAGACCTCAAACATCTGGTTATAACTGCTGTTCATGTTTGCATTGTTTACCTTCAGGATATGAAACCAAATAATTTGTTGATTGATGATAAAGGAGTTTTGAAGATTGGTGATTTTGGACTTGCCAGATCTTTTGGAAGTCCCACAAAGGTGTATACTCATCAAGTAGTGACAAGGTCAGGACTTTTGAATCAATTTTTTTTTTTCACAGAGTTCTTGATTGAGATCTGAAATACCCAGCAATACAACTATTTATTCAATCTTGTTTGTTGATGTAGCACTCCATAAAGGGTTGCAAAGACTTTGGTGACTCATTCTTCTTTTCATATCTTTTGCAGGTGGTATCGTCCCCCCGAGCTTCTGTTTGGAGCAAGAATCTATGGTACAGGTGTGGATATATGGGCTGTTGGTTGCATTTTGGCTGAGCTTCTTCTGCGGGTGAGTGAATCTTTCTGTATGTCAACAAATATTAATTTATTAATTTTAAAAGGTAAGTTATAGCTTTGACAAGTAAATTTGTGACTATCATTAATTTGATATCATACAATGTGTCACTTTGAACAGTTCTTCCCATTTATTTCTTTTCTGTTGCAGCTTATTAAATAAGTTATAACAAGAAGTTTTTTCTTCAGTTTGTGCAATGATTTGCTTAAGTTTTGCTTGTGAAAATTCTAAAACATTTTTCTCTCCCTGTTTATCATTTAGGTTCCCTTTTTACCAGGTAGTTCTGATTTAGATCAACTCAGCAGAATATTTGAAACTCTTGGTACTCCATCAGAAGATTCCTGGCCAGTGAGTAACATTCAGATTCATTTAATTACAATACAATATTTGTTATTGATCTTCTCCCATAGGGGATATTCAGGGACAGTACAATACAGTAAAAAGCAAAAACAGTTTAAAGAAAATTGGCTAGATGTTAACCCAGTGGGCTCTAATATTTTTTCTTTTTTTTTTCTATGTTAAAAAAATCATATATTTCTTATCTACCCAAGGGTGTCACATCTTTACCAGACTATGTGGAATTTAAGAAATTCCCAGGGATTCCTTTAAAGGACATATTTTCTGCTGCTGGTGATGACCTTTTGGATATGCTTGACAGATTACTGGATTGCAATCCTGCTGGCAGAGTAAATGCAACTCAGGTAAATTTTCCAAAAATGCTTTAAAATCCACTTGTCTGGCACAAACTGAGAACATCGTTTTAGCTGGTAATGGCTCATATGCTTTAGTGAATGATCAAAACTGCAAACCAATTGGTCAAGATTTAAGTCCTGCCAGCTGTTGTGTTAGTAATGATACACCATTCTAATGCTCCACTCACCATGAAGTAAAAGTGGCAATGGCAGTGAGGGGTTGATGAACTGGGATCTCAACAAGGATGTCGCTGGCAAGGCCTGGGTGCAAGAGAACCCCCCTCCCCTCCCCTCCCTCTTGTATGAGAAAGTGATAAAATTATAATTTTAGAAAAACTTGCATGCTCCTGAAGTCCTGTAAAAATGCTGGTGATAATTAACCATCCTGTTAAGAATTTCTGACCACACTCCACTTCACATCAGAAGAAGTGAAACAATGAACTCAGCTAGATGGTCACTTAGCTTGTGGATATACTTTTGCATCAAACTTCTTAAAAAGAATTATTGATTCCCTCCAGGCTCTGAAGATGCCATACTGTTCCAACAAACCCGTCCCTACGCCTGGGCACCTACTGCCACGCCCTAAGATATCGGCACCCGCAGGTAGTAAAAAGGAGGAGGAAAACTCGTTGAAAAGAAAAATGGTTGATTCAATGGCTGATTCAGGTGATAATCATGAAGATGTTAGTTAACTAGTGTATGTTATGTGATATTCTCCAAAGTATTCTTGGATCATTTCCCCAAAGACCAGACACATGAAGGCTGGTTTCTTCCTGATTGCCGAGATTAGCGTATCATTTGATTTTTAAGCTCCTTTCATTTACTTCATTTAGAAATTCCTATAAAACGTCTGGTTGATCCAGGACTTTGACCAATTTTAAACGACCTTTTGCATGCAAAATTGTTCCGTGTAAAAAAGGAAGCATCGGGCCGTCACCATCTCTGAAAAGTAGCACATAAGCGCTGAATTAAGCAGGAGTCCTTTATTAGCTGAATGTGTTATTTTTGCTCTTTCATTTTCTAGGAACTATCAGAGCAAAAAAGCTGGTATTCTAGTGTGATTTCCGTCAAAGGCAAAGAATTATCCATTTATTGTTTCCCAAGTTGTACGAACCACGTTCCAGCGTGGCAAACTCTCGTTTAGGGATTTTTATGTTGTGTGATATTTGACACGAAACGACCGACGAGGAGGACATCAACCACGCTATGGCCATTGGCTAAGCGTTCTTTCAGTTCAGGATGGCCCTCAAAAGAGCAAGTTGAACGATGATCATGGAGAGCGTACAATTATGTCCTCGCAACCGAAGTTTCGGAGGTAAACTTTGACAGTTGCGCATGCTAAGCGAAACTGTCGTTGAAAGTACCCTATTCACGAACACCAGTTCACAAGAACATCTAACTCAAGGAAAGCGCCACTGTCCCTTTTCCATGATAGTGCCAGTCTCCCGCTCGTGCGTATCAAAAAAGGGGAACCACAGGGGAGGAGTCGGCCCAAAATTTCGCTTTGAGAGTGACATTACGTTCACCCGAAAAATGGTCAACTGTTTAAAAAAAATGGCGCATATTATCGGTAGAGTTAAGTAGAGACGTGAAGCTCTCGTGTTGATTTTGGAATTGAGAAGTGCTCGCTGTATGTTGATGCAAGCTATGGTACTCATAAATGTACATACCGTAGATGAAAAAACGAATCGACGTCAACATTTAATTTAAGAAAGATATAGAAACGTGTGTGTAGACATGTAACAAAGAAAAAAAAACCCTAGTTACTGAAGGAAGTAATTCTCTCAGTTTTATATATTGTTAGGATCATCAATTTCTGAAGATCGAAAATGGTGGTCTCTGCAAATCAAGTCTTCCATAAAACGCAATGGATTAAATGAACGAGTTGCCAGTAATCGGATCCTTATGTTTGCGTACAGAATTCTGGGTTCGCCACGAGGCAAACACTGCAACTCGCTAGAAGGAAATGTTTGGCGAAAGGTTATTCCGACGACCAAAAGAACGATTTTGGAGAGAGGTGGTTGCTTTTTCGCCGCTGTTTTATCATTAACTTGTCTTCATGCGTGCGCAATGTGTGTTGTGAATTTGACATCGCGTAATGGTATCGAATTTAGAAAAACTAACTATAAATTGCCAAGAAATAACTCGACAAAGCCTTGTTAGTCTTATGGACGTGTTTTAAGTCTACCTCTATCTTTTTTTGTGGCTTGGTTATACAACAGAGCGCTGGAAATCTGCTTAAAGCTGAACCCTTTCTTTTGTGACGATGGGTAGGTACAAATGGGTCGCCTAAGGAGCGATGAACAACTGATTACATGTCCACAGTTTCTGCCGAGGTTCCCGTGATCTTGCTTTTCCTGGCAAGATCCTCCAAGAAGTTCGAGAAGAGAAGTTGCAGCTCAAAGACTTGGATTTTTCTCAAACAAAGTATCACTTGACCAAGGGATTTCCTCATTTTTTTCATAAGTTATTTCATCCTTTCAGAGAACAACAACTCGGTAAAGACAATTTCCATCTCTGGTGACAACGACCTCTCTCCTTTAGGGAGTGTATTTTCACACGTCGTAATTTGTCTATTTAATACGTTAACAAGTATAAAAACAGACTGTTCACGTAGAAATACAACTGAAAAGACTGAAATGAGTCATTTCCTAGCAATTTATTGCTAATTTGAAATATTTCGAGACCATTACACGATGACGATTCTACAATTAATCATAACCATTACAGTTTCCTCACATGTGATTGGTGCATCAGCTGCTCTATATTTCACTAATCAATTTGTAAAGTTGTAATCGGAAAGTGTAATCGGACTGTTGGCTGTAATCGGACACCTGTAGGCGGAAAGTTGAAGCAGCCAATCATACTAATTCCACTCAGCTGAATCCACCAATCACAGAATTGATCGCAATAACCACTTACCCTAAAAAAAAAAAAAAAAAATGGGAAATTTCCTAATTTTTTTGCTTTAGACATTGTCCCTACTGGATATGTCCCCACTCGTGATTGTCAAATCGGACTCCCGCTTCGTGGTCCTCCGATTTTGTTAATCACTCGTATGATTACAGAACGAATTGGACTCCACTCGGTCCTATTACCATTATAAATCCTATGCAAGGAGAGAAGACTGTCGGTCTATTTTAAAGCATATTTCGTGGTAATTATGACAAAAACTTACACTTCCCTCGTATCGACATTATCTTCGCCAATTTATGATGAAACTGCGGCGAAAAAGCGATAATCCCTCTCCAAAATCATTTTTTCGGACGTCGAAACAACCTTTCGCCATATCCAAGGCGAGTTGCAATGTTTGCCCCGTGGTGATCCCAGAAACCTGTGCGCAAACGCAAGGATCCGATTACTGGCAACTCATTCATTGTTAATCAAAGGAAGTAACGACAACCCTTGCAGATAAACCCCTTTCATAAACACCTGTCATATTGTCCAATCCCAAACCTACTACGCGTTGGAATATTTTGCGTTGGAAAGTTTTCACTCAATGATCCCGATCCCGTCTCCAGAAAAGGCCGTGTTTCTACATGAATAGGGGTGAAGATGTAACCAGGCCTTTTTCTTGTCTTTCATGGTGGGCAATTGGGAGGAAGAGAGGAAATCCGCGCAACGTTCTGTTGAGCTCTGGGAAGCAATTGCAATTGATATAGTATGGAGGATGAGTGAGAGCAGGACAGCTTTTCCCACACTGACGCGTAACTTGTGTAACAACAACCAAATTAATCTCGAACCCAGATCCTAACGTCTAATAGTAACTGAAATTTCTTGGCAGTGTGAGGTCTGGGTACGAGATTAGGATCGGACATGAAGGTTAGGTTACTGAGTAGGAGAATCATAAAATCCAACAATTGAAAAATAATTCGAGAAAACAAGAAAATAAAATGTCAATTTTCTTTTACTGACCACAGTAACTCTCGTTCTTCGACATGCACCATGTTCCAATTGCTCGAGCAACTGATGACGCACACAATTACGTACGTCGCGCTATTAATGAAGTGAATTTAATTTTAACAGAGAACTGTATTTTAGGTGAGTGACTGGTAAGAGCGGCTTTCAAAAGTGACAGCGAATAGAGAAAAGGTGACAAGAAAAGGATTTGTTACTCAGGCCAAGATTCCATTGATTTCTTAAAACGCTGAAACCCTCTGCACAGTTGTTGTCTCTTTGCAGTTTTCATTAATGTTTAGTGTACTTTCTGACATGGTTACTGTTGTAAAATCGTCGTCTTGCCGCTCAACTCGAACTTCTTCGACCGGAGATCTACTTACGCGCAACAAAAGGAAGATGTCTCTTGCTAAAGAGAAAGACGATCTGAGAAATTTAAACGACCGTTTTGCGGCTTACATAGAAAAAGTCAGGAATCTGGAAGAGGAAAATAAAAAGCTCAAAAATAAGGCATGGTGAGTAATCGGACTAAGGTAACAGATAGAGAGGTTAGCTTATAAAGTTCTTTAAAACTCGAGCTCTTACCCTCCCCCTATGAAATTTTAGCCCCCTTACTAGAATCATTTTATCGTACTCAGCAGTCGTTTTGGTCTCCTTTCAGCGAAGTAGAAGAGGTGCGAGAAAGTGTGAAAATAGCAAGAGTCGAACGAAAACATAGGGCTAAACAATACCTTAAGAAATAATAATAATAATAATAATAATAACAATGGTAATAATAATAACAATGATACTAATAATAATTATAATAATAATAATAATAATACTAACAGCCAATATATCTGACATTGACATTACATCGGAAAGTGCGCAAGCCAGAATTTAAGTAGTAACTCTTTATCAGTTTGAACTATTATTTTTAGATAGTTTTTATTTCTTTATTAACTTTTTGATGCTTTTTATAATTGTTATTAGTAGTCTTTAGATAGTCATTTTACGACAATTCTCTTTCGTACACAAGAAGAATGTACAATAGGGTATATATTTTAATATTCATATTCTTGAAAATAGAATAGTAAATAGTCTATTTTTTTTTAATCTATGAATAAAGTTTTAATATAATAATAATAATAATAATAATAATAATAATAATAATAATGGGATTTAGCAGTGGACATGTTACGGAGATTCTCTTCTTGTCCACAGTTTCCAGGTCGAATTGGAATTGAGAATGTTTGTTTTTGGGGTAATCATAGGGAAGTTTCCTTGATTTGCTTTTTCCTAGGGTAACAATGGTGCCAACCATTTCAACGATCCTTCCATAGAGGAGGTCATGATATTCGAGTGACCTTTACTTCTTCGAGAATACCATGAGCTAATCAGAAGTCTTAGACATGTTTTGTCTTGTTTTGTTTTTTCTTTTTTTCATGGTAACACTTCTTGTCAATATTTCCAATAACATTTGGGTGTGGCTTTATTCCCGCCTGGGTAGCCTGTGCATCATTCCATCATCCTGAAGACGCTTTCGCGGATGAAGAATTCAAAGTGAATAAAGGATCGGTTGCCATATTTTTCTTAAGCGAGTTTTGTGTTTTTGAAAGTGCGAAATGTGAAATAGTTGTTCGAAAGGCTGATTCTTCTTGTGTTATCGGTCGACCAGCGGAGTTCGAGTCGAAACTGAAAGGGATAATTTATCAAATTTAAGTTATCACCTGATGCCAAAGATATTTCATGTATGCGTTTGTGAAAGCATTTAATTCTACCGTTCTGCAGTGCATTTTACGAGCGGGATCAGACTAAACGGGAGTTACACGAATCATACCGTGACTGTTACCGCAAAAGTCACGCCTCAATTTTAACCAATCATTTATTTGCTTTGAAAGAATTTTTCAAGGAACGCACTCTCTTATTGGTCAAATCTAGTCACATGTCAGTAGAGAACCGCCAAAACTTAAGCATATTTCTACGCGGTCCTAGGAGTCTTAACTTCTGAGCGAACTTTGTTTTACTTTGCTTTGAGGTTAGCTTACTTTCCAAAATGGCTACAACTGTAATATCACCTCGCACTCCGGCGTCTTCAGCGAGGGTCGAGGTGGCCTCCCCGACGAAGATGACCCGGATTCAAGAAAAAGAAGAACTTCAACACCTGAACGATCGTCTCGCCGTTTACATTGACAGAGTCAAATTCTTGGAAGAAACGAACAGCAAGTTGACAGCAGAAATAACTGTGATAACGAGCAAAAAACAGACTGAAATTGAAACCGTGAGGAACTCGCTTGAAGCAGAGCTGAGGGATGTAAGGAGGTTGTTGGACGAGGTCGCAAAGGACAAGGCACGCGAGCAGATCGAGAACAAGAAGAACGCTGCTCTGGTCGAGGAATTCAAGAAGAAGTAAGTTAACCTTTAATATATTTTAAGTTAACCTTATTTTCATAAAACAACGGGAAGGCTGTCTGTTTTTAAAAGCAATTATTTCCTTCTAAAAATAATTGAGTTTTCGCTTGAAGTGTTCTTTTCGGTTGGTTGATACCGTGGAGTATGACTTGATTACGGTCGCGCTCTCGAGCCTTATTGCCTGCACGTGGAAGCTAATGACATGAGCATGATCGTAGTCTTAGTTTATATGGCTGGCTCGGTCATCTTCTTCACTCGTTCTGTTCAAACAACCGAGACTGAGGTGAAATGGAAACTTGTTGATTTCGTTACCCGCATGTCGATTTCATCAATTACATTATACGAACTCAAACGAACGTTTGCATCAATATTCGTGATTATTCGGGAGAGACGTCTACGTTACTCCTTAGACAGCATTGTAATGGGTGTTTCCTAGGCTAGCGTCGGGTAAAAAAATTATTGTTATCATTGTAAACCACGTAGATCAGTTACTGAGCGGTCATTTTGAGGGGAGAGCATTTTGTAAAGTTATCCTACTTGAGACACTAGCTACGCTGACTGGTCACGCGTAAGTTCCTTTAAATATTTTGGTGTAAAACATGGAGCAAACTTTTTTTAAATTGAACTCTGTGAAACCTCCTTTGTTCAGCATGCTAATTTTCTCATTGTCAGACCCTTTGTTGATTTGAACTTATTTCTAGGCTTTAGTCCCATCCAGTTCCTACAAAACGTGAATAAACTTACATTGAATGGCTCACATTTTGCCGTTTTATATTCCTTGAATATTTAGAGTATTTGCTAAACGGAAGGTGCAGCATATTATGGTAAAGATTATGCAAATTTCTCGAAAATATTCAAAATTGTCAATAAATTTCGATGAGATAGGTTTTTTTGAAAGCATGTGAAGGGTTTGTGTTTATCAATAGCATGCTGATGTTTATAGCTGTCTTTTGTGTTCAATGTCACACTCTCCACTGACTTTTTGTTTATGACATCAAAGGTTTGAGAAAGCAGCTGCAGCACACAAGAACAGTGAAGATGCCTTGAAAGCATCTCAGAGAAAGTTGTGTGATCGAGATGCACAGCTAGCTAATGTAAATCAAGAGGCAAAGAAGTTAGAAGCAGTTATCCAGGACCTAAGGAAAGAGTGCCAAGAACTGAAGGATGCTTTGGAATCAGCTAAATATGCCCTTGAGCAGGAGACCCTATCGAGAGTGGACCTCGAGAACAAACTCCAGTCCAAAGAAGAAGAACTCAATTT